CTGATTTAGTGCACTGCCTTGACACTCCAACCACCAGTGTCCTCTGACTACAGTATCTATAGCAAAAGTAACCTTTCAAGTTTTCCTACTTGGAATTTCTATGAAACAGTTTATCATATAGATGATCAGGATTTCTTGGGATGGTGTCAGACAAGGCACAGTCCTTGGCTACAACAGGGCAGGGAGCTCTCCAGGACAAGAAAGGCTGATTTTTCTTGGCACAGGTCACATACAGGACCCCCAACTTTAAATGCCAGCAAGATATTTGCTTTTTACCTAGCAGTAAATAGAAGTAGCCTCTGACTCATTTAACACAGAATGCAGGTTGGAATGGGGTGAAAAGGTTTTGCCCAAACCTTTTAGTTCCCCCTCTGAAAAAAAAACCCCATAAATTAACAGCTTCACAGGTCACTTTGACTGGCTACTCACAGAGATGTATTCACCAACTGTTACTCCACATCTACATTCCCCAGAGAGAAAGACTAGTAAGGTTAACAAAACCTCTTCAACCTATAAAAGATTTCCTTTGGTTTTTACTTATATAGAAAGCTAATAATAATTCCATATAAAGTTTCTGGAAAGGCAAAAAAGCCACTGCAACACTTCATTTGGATGTTACTCACAAGTTAAACTGTTATCATCTGGGTAATACTGTCACAGTAAATCTGTGAGCTTTACATGGAAATCCTTGTTTTGGAAGTAAAACCATCAAAATAGCATCAGGAGATATATATACATATAAAAATAATAAACTAGTACCTGAGTGATTGGATCCTCCTTAGTATAGTCCAGTTGCACATTCAGAGGAGAACAACCCTATTATTGTTGACAAGATGAGAGAACTTCAGAGTATCACTGCGCAGTGGCAGTCTGCTGGCCAAATTAAAGCCCAAAGCAGGCAGCACACACAAGATGAAGCACTCACAACACTGTTGTCTCAGTATTATACTAAGCAAGTAATTTGTCCTTTCTGTAGTTCATAGAATCACAGAATGGTAGGAATTGGAAGTGATCTTAAGAGATCATCTAGTTCTTAAATGGGTATCCCTGTGGGATTGGGATTCAGTATTTTTGTACCCATCCTACCCAAAAAAGAAAGATTTCTTTTAATCTATGCACTCCGTCAATTACTATTTCAACCTCTATTTCTGTAGTCTCTTGGTAAACAAGAGAAGAGTTTTCTATGCCTCAATCTTAAAAATTAAAGTTAACAGAGAGTAAAAGATCAGCTCACTAAACTTCTCCTAAATTCCCCTTTTACTGGAACAGTATGAGGACACTCAAAGAACTTCATTTCAATGACAAGGCTATCAGGTTAGAGGCCATCAGTTCAAAGCTCTACACATCCAGATATGATGATGGTTGTTTAAAAACGTTAAGGTCAGCCACAAGGGTAAAAAAACCCAAACAAAACCCCAACCTCCCCCTATACAATCAGTGTTGTTGAAGCCTTACAGATATACTTTTGTACTGCAGCTTACCAAAATGCTGTAGAAAAGTATTTTTAAGACCTCATCTGTACAAGGAGGAGTATGTATATGATAAGGCATCAGCAACGAGTTACAAGAAGTCATAAACCAGCCATTGCAAACAAGTATTTCGGACGTACTGAGTTAGAGAGAAAGGAAATGAGGAAAATCTGTGGGTTTTTTTGTTTTGTTTATTGAAATATGAGCAGCAGTATGCAAAAAATATCTTTAAAAACGTAACATAGCAAAACCTAATCGTTTAAAATTAACAAAATAAAAAGATGTTTAGAGTTAAATGAAAAAAAACCTCATTGCTAGAACCGTGTTTCCTACAACGTAAACAAAAAGCATAAAGGTTATGCTTGCAACAAACACAGAAGCAGGTTTATGGAGCAGCACAATAAAGCAACATTATGTTGTAATTTGATGGTTTGGTCTATTGATTTGAATTCAGAATGGGACACCTTCCTAAAACACAACTATAAAAAGTTAGTCACATGGTTGTCTTTTGAAGCAAAACATTTGGGTTGGTGCTTTTGTCCTAAAACCCATCACTAGCAACACACTTTGGGGCAACTCAAACAATAACCTGAAGAAAAGTTTGTATTTTAAAGTAGGGAGAAAGCCTGACACATTTTAGTGTTCTCTGGACTTAAGCTGCAAGAGAATCTGCCCAAGAATTTACAACTTTCACACTGAGGCATTGAGGGGAGAGGAAAAAAATCATAGCTTCAAGCAAGACCAATTCTGTACAAAATGATAACACATGGGCTGGTTCATCACTCTTTTGACTAATGGCTGTTCTGTTAGATTTGTCTCTCATCAGTCAGTCATACTAAAAAGTTGTATTTTGGTCCTATAGATACTCTAACCCAATGTCATCCTTTCATGTAGAACTACTTCATGCCTCATGCAATTAAATGAATGTAATAATTACGCAAGGCACTGGACTGGCTGCCAGCAAGACTGAAGTCCTCTGAGGAGGAATATCCAAGCTACTATCTCATCTTAGTGCCTATAAAAGCGACCCCAGAAAGAACTTCAGTAGAAGTCTGTTCTAGGCCCTTTGCTGGTATTGTCAAAGCTGTTAGTTAATGCTGTGGTTGGTGCAAAGTAGAAAGATGCCCAAAAAGAAGAAAATACACTACAAAAGTCAAAACTGTTCTCACTGAAGAGTAACATCAGTCTAAGCTGGGCTACCCTGGAAAGGCTCCATCCTCCACTATAAGCACATTACTGGCTGATTCAGTTTCTCCATCCAGATCAAGAAGTGACTTATACACAAGTATGCTGCAACAGAAGCAGCGCTTTCTGATACCACTATGCTTGAACCATCATTAGTGTCAAACAATTCTCAATCCAATCCATCTATCCACTGATAGAGGAATTTTATATCAGCAGCACAGTTGAACTAAACATGATTAGGATATCAGGAACCAGTAGCACACATTTGCTAACTAGAAAGCTCTCAAAAAGTCCTTCTTAAAGGGAACAGAGAAGTAGAACACAGACAAATCTTGCTGGGTCTGCTCCTGCAAGCCTACCCTGGCAAAATCAGCAGTCACAAGGATATTCCCATCACTGCATATATTACTGTTCAAGAATATGTACACAGACAAATGCCTGAGTAGTGTAGTACTTAATGACAGCATCAGAAGTGGGTTAACTGGATATTATGGCAGAAATTATGGTTCAGTGCATGGGTAGCCAATCTAACCACAATACTAGCACTAATCACCAGCTTTGGCTCATGAACACCCACTTCAGCAGCCATTCTTGAGTCAGTCGTTGGCCACATCTAAACACACAAGTGAACAGAGATGAAGCCAAGTGAAAAACATTTTGGATAAAGTAAAACCTTGTACCTATAACTGAGATCTTTCCTCAATCCAATGTGCCATGACATTATAAAAGCTCCTCAAGAAGAAAATCCTGTAGTGTCAAATACACATATTCAGCAACTTGACAAAATAAAAGCCTGATACTGTCGCCAACTGACTTCACATCTTATTCGATCAAAAGAAGAACCATCTCTAGGTTGCAGCTCCAAAGAATGAAAGAGAAAACCCCAAAGGTGAGTGGCAAATCATGTTCTTCTCCTGACCATTCACTTGCTTGGTTTTGAACACACCTGAGAAACTTCTTAAAAAGCACCAAACCCCCCAAAATAAACCACCAAAGTCATATAGAAATTCCTGAACAAGATAACATCAGGGTTCTGTAGAAGTGTTACAGTTTATTCCTTTAAGGCATTTTATAAGAACCATTTCAATGTCACGTAAACAATTTCATTTCTTTAAGATCATTTGTTACTTAGGTACCATATGATGCATGATTTCCATGTCATTCAATAGAAGACACCAGAACTTGTGTAAGCAATCAATGTCTCAGGATTGCAGTAATTAACTGCAACACATCTTTGAATAAGTATTTGCATTTTAGAGTTTTCAGCCTCTCCCCCAAATGCTGAACCCTTTGCTGAAAAGGTGAATCAGGAAAATGAAAAGGTAAAAAATACAATAGGTCTGTTGCTGCATGCAAAGAGATTTTGTATATAATTCACTTTAATGCTCTTAAGAATATTTCTTTCAGCCTCCTTTTTTATTATTTAAAGGGGAAATATATGCATATGTTGTTTACCTGATTTCTCTTAGTGTTTAGTACAGTGTTTAAATTCTCTATTGAGTAATACAACAGCACAGGCAACAGGATTCCTTACATGTGAAAGAGAAATTTCATCATCATATTAATGCAGTCCTTCCATCCCATAAAGCTGCCAACTACAGTTACGAGTCTTCTGACTGAACACCTGCCATCAGGGACAGGATCAAGACCACTGTTTCATGTAGGCTACAAAGAAGTGATTACTTTTGGTCATTACCAACAGGTCTGTATTAAATTACATGATCTGGAAGTAAAAGCTTCTGCAATCAGTTACTAATTTGCTAAGCCACTCACAGTCTTCAAAGAGACTCAAACTCATACTGAAAGTGAATTAAATACAGTGTACTCACTAATACTGCATAATGTCTACGGAGAGATTAAAAAGGCCTAACACAGATCAATGCCAGACAGGTAAAATAAACAGCTAGAACACCAAAAAGAGAACAAAAAAACCAACTTATTCCTTCCAAAAAGTAGTAAGCACTGCCATTTACAAATAGTAGTGTTTATGTTAAAATAGAGAAGGGTACCTAAAAAGAAATAGCCTTGGCAACCAAATCCAAATGGCATGAGTGTAAATCAAAGCAAAACCAGGATTATTACTCCAGAAACGTGCAAGATGTTTACCTTGTATCAATTACTACTGAAAACGGTGGTTAAAAGAGAGATTACAAAACTGAAGTGGGAAAAAGGCTAAGAACTGCTATTCTGCATTAATATAAAGTGTGTTTATGACAGCATTTTCCAATAGACAATGGAAGTGTTTTTTTACACCACTCCAAGATTTGTAAAAAGTATATTTCATGTGTACACTTAAAAAGTCACATTGTTCAATCTGAGGCAAATTAGCCATGATAAAAGTCTAATTTTGCTTATGACAGATGTCAACCTTAAGATGTTAAGCAACTATGCTAAAACTACAGCTTGCAAGCTGGAGCTGCACATGTTCAAACAGTAAAAAAATCCCAAACTATGATATGTATTTATTTGCTGAAGTCAGTCTTCATAATTCGTGTCCCTCCAGGACAAAAAAGCATTTTCCAGTTAAGACATATGCCTGTAAGTTCTAGGGGAGGGAGGGGAGAAGTGTTCTGAATCTTTTCAATAGACTTTTTTTTTCCACCCTTAGGGCTCAACTGTCACTTAAGCATCACAAGAACAAATTGAAATGTAAAACTGATTAGCTATACACAATGGAATTGGTCACAAAGGGCTTTAAAAAAAGAAGTTAAACCGTAAGATCCATTCTCCATATAGCTCACAGTATCCACACTGGAAGTTTCACTAGAATTAGAATAAGTTCGCTAAAAATAAGGCTGAAGATAGAATTTCAGCACTATGATACAGATGAGATGGGATTAAGAGGAGAACCCATTTGTGTAAGTACTTTATCCAGCCACTGGAGGGGCCCATGAAGGTGAATTTCTATCCAGCATGGGGTGCTCGTCACATCTTGTCGGTGATATTCAGCTCCCCAGCCCTGTGAAAAAGAACACAATGTTATCAATCAAGTTGAGGACATGCTTTCAGAATAACTGTACTAACAAGCAGCAGAAAAACATGTTCTCAGCTCCTTATCTGAAGGTAACTCACAATCTAGCAACACTCCTTATCTAAAGGAAAAAACATGAGGTTAGGAAGGAGTGGGAGGGAAGCTGCACCTGGAAGCCTGAATCAAATCTTACCTGCTATAGCCTCAAAGTGACTACCTGAGCTCCTCTTGAGCACACTGCTGACTCAAGAATGACTCCTGGCTATGGCCACATCTTTTCTGTTTCTCCCTCCTGCTCTCAAATTGAGCAATATTTATCGTAGCTGACGAAGCTAGTAAGATATCTTTTGGGCAAGATGCAAAAAATCCTGTAAGGCCCAAGTCTAGACTCTGTGCTATCTCTGAAATGGACAGCATCTTGATTAAACATGTTGAGAAAACACTACTGAGAGCAACAGCAGAGTCCGACTTCACGAATTCAAGTCATGTCTTTTTTCCCCACAATCAATTATTTAAAACTTAGTATCATCTCTTTGAAGGAGTTGCATTTCTTTCTGCAATCTCTTACGCTCCTCTCTACTGACATTCTTTTAGTGGTCTTGTAATTCACTTTGTTCTTTCAAATTTAGAGCATGAGCTCAAATCTCCTTTAATAAAATTATAACAACCACGATTAATTGCCTGTCCTGATCACTTAAGTAACTAGAGAGCCAACATCCAACACAGCAATGTGTGCTTCTCCTTTCTTGCACTGATTTCCCTCTCCCCAAATTAACCATTTTCAACATAGTTGTCATTGAAAAGAACCACATCAGGTCAGAATAGCTTTGCTACATTGTTACAGTGCTAATGAAATTACTGCTGAATGCCCAAATCCACAAGAGACATCAATGCCCTGTTTACCTTTACAAAGCTCATGCGAATGGTGCACATCTTGGTGAGCTCATACACTGCTTCAAATCCATGGTTGACAGACTGAGCTAAAAGCTGAGCAAACTCCTGATTGTTAAAAATCTTCAGACTGCATCCACTGGGAATCTTGCATACAGTCGTTGGATGAAAGCCATGGTGGTAGTTGCAGTTCCTGCTCTGTACAAATATGCTGCTATCACTTAAACACTCAGCATAGACTTCCCCACCAACATAGTAGAGATGAACTCCTTGAAAACAAAAGACAAAAGCGTTTCAAATTACTTTTTCTTCCAAAAATATAGTACTTAATACAGCTCCCTCAAAATGAGGGACAACAAAGTACATTTTCTGTTTGAGGAGCTTTTTAGTAAAGCTCTTTTGCCCACACTGTAACATACTGAACGCAAAACACAGTAGGCTTCATTGTCCATCAGCCACTAGATGTCCTTCTCTCATCAACTACAGAATAGAATGAAAAACTACTTCCACACAACAGTTATTTCAAGCTATTTTCCTAGAGAACTTCTGTGGATTTTAAAACTCCAGTTTTGTAAAACAGGTGGCTTCCGCCTATGGCAATTCCTACAGAAATAAAAGTGTCCTAGAGAAGGGGCAGTGACAGACATGAATGAGAAAATATATCCATGCTCTGATTCTGAGTGTATTTTTATGCAGTAAAAGGAAAGGTAATCCAATTAGTTGCACAACTTAAACACCATCAGGCTTTACAAACCTGAAAATCAAAGTCCTTAGATTTTTCACATCTGCCTGGATTCAGCTATGTACATAAGTGCTTCCCCCTCATTATGCACTGAAGCCTATGTATCACTGCAGACTATCCTGTAGTTTGCCAGATGAGGCTGCAGCAAGTCAACAGATGCAAGTTAATCTTTCAGACAGCAGCAACTGCTGTGAACATTGCTAGATTTGCCCGGCACTAAGGAAGGATGAAGGTTACACAGAGGAACCACTGGCTTCAACAACCATAGGCAGCTGACAGAAAATCTGGGGTGGGCAAGAATGCATTTTCACCACACCACCTTATGTAAAAAGACAGGAACTACCACTTGCTAACTAACATCTTTTGAGTAAAGACCTTCTGAGAGATCTCTGAAGAGGGGAGCTGGATAATTTAACTGCCTGAAAAGAGCATAGGTACTTCTAATTGTGCACTGGATTATGATTGATGTCATGCTTGCAATGGAATACTATTACAGAAAAAAAAGCTTATCAAGTAGGATCAGGTAGTTGTAAGGAGGCAAAAAAAACAAGACCTTCCAAAAGCCATAAACAAACAATATTTCAATCCAAAAAACACAGAATCATAGAATGGTTTTGTTTGGAAGGGACCTTAGAAGGGTTCCAGCCAGGGGAAGGTCTTCCACTAGAGCAGGTTGCTCCAAGCCCCTGTGTCCAACCTGGCCTTGAACACTGCCAGGGATGGGGCAGCCACAGCTTCTCTGGGCACCCTGTGCCAGCGCCTCAGCACCCTCACAGGGAAGAGCTTCAGCCTCAGATCTAAACCAAATCTTCTCAGAACTTTTACTATGAAGCAAATTTATTTTAATAATTAGTATTAGAGATGTAGACATATTAAAGCTCATTGCAGCCAGTACTATACAACACAATGCTGGACCCTTGTTACACTTCTGACCTTAGGGAGATGCACTAGATTTCCCTGCCAGCACCATCAAAAGGGATAAGCCAAAACACAAGAATCTGACAAACCACCCACACCCCAGAAATCAGTTGTTCCCTTTCATATTAAATTTTCTTGGACAACAGCATTGCAGAGACAAGTTCCAAAAGATTAATATAATTTGTGGTCTCCAGATTATGTGAAAAATTTTGCCATCTTTATAGTTGTTTCTAATTAAAAGACCATTAAGGGACACGATTGGTCTTGAAGATGCATTACAAGCAACAGTGACCAACTGTACCGGAAGATCTTAGGTGTTAAAAAGGCCTCTAGATACGTGCAATAGAAACAGGGTTCTCAGGACTTAGTTACCAAAAAATGAGGTATTCCGAAAAGAAGTACTACCTTTTAAGATAATCCAAGCACATTCCATCAAAGATGAAAACCGTACATCTGTATGTGCTATCAGCCAAACAGTATGGGAAAACTAGAAGATCTTGCAAAACCTGCTGTCTCCAGGAATCCCTCCCACACACAAACACACCCCATGGATCCACTCAGACAAATGAGCCCTTGCAGTTTTGCATTAGCACTTCAAAGTCCTGCTGACAACTCATGCAAGATACTTGAACATACTGTAGACAGCAGCGTAGTATTGTGCATATACAACAAAAGGGAAAAAATCTATCTTTGAGACACTGCGCAGTATGAAGAACTTGATTTAGGAAGAAGATATAACATAGAGTATCAGAAGTCCTGCAATATTTTTTGATTCTGAAACATGAAATTCTACATACAGACTACCATCAGCCATAACAAACAAGCCCCTATGACAATATAGTGTGGCAAGGAAGAGGTAATATTTAATCTTTTAAATTAGTGCCAAAGAAAAATAGGTGCAATTCCCAATTAGAACCAAACCATGCTTAAGTAAATTGTGTTCTGATACCAGAGAGGTAGATAACATATCACACAGACGACTACTGTTCTTATCTGAGAATAATCATTGCTGCAGTATACAGAAGTTCAAATAAAAACAGGGACTTCACTTCATCATTGTGCATAACACAAATGAGCTTTACCTTTTCCAATGTGTCGTCTAGTGTTCTCAATTGTCGAGTTGCGATTAACGTTTGAGAGCAAACCTAAGCAGAACCTGTTTTTGTTATTGGAGGGATCTGTAAACCCATCTACTAAGACACTTGTAGAAGATGCATGAAAAGCCTCCCCAACACGATTATTTAGCTCGTAATACACGATGGAACACCAGTGTTTGGGTTCTTCATAGGCAACAGGCTGAACATCTGAAAATAAGCAAAATGGAAACACCAGTTTACACAAGGGTTAAAATATTAAATCTCAAACTGTAAAGCAGACCTTCCAGTATATCAACTGGTAAGTAAAAGCTTAGCCAACAGTTATGATGGGCAAGAACTGGCCTGATCAAGATCTTTATGATTTTTTACTTTCATGCATTTTAACTTGTCTGCTGATTTTATAATATTTTCCTATTTTAAGCCTGATATGAAACAAAAACCTACACAAGAAAATACAGATGACTGTGATATCAGGTGAAACATGATTCTTCTGTCCTCTTTTAAAAGAATTGTTATAATTTTAGGACTATTTTCCGAGCCTTTGTGCATACACAATTCCAACAGCAGGCAAAGGTAGCAGGAAAAAAACTATTCTGAAAAATGTATACAGTTCAACTTGCTGTAAGCCATATGATGCACCTGAGGCTTTAAAAGCAAGAGATGCAAATAAGCAAGGCAAGCTTTATTTCTCAACTCTTGCTCTTACAGCCCTGCTTGCCTTGGAGGACTGCTTCCACTTATCAGCAAGGCTCACTGTGCCACCTGAAGTTACTCACTCAATTTGGTCATAAGCCAAACTATGTTCATTTTATAACACGCTATACAACTTACCTCTGGTAGATATATTTGGCATGATTTGAGGGATCATTGAATTGCTTGTGTCCATAGACTGCGTATTATCCTGCCCCATTTGATCATCAGGGGGCATATATGCAGGAGGTGGAGTATCAGCTGCAAACATGAAAACAACAAAAAAGAATAAAGCTCTACAATTTAGAGTATTTATTTATTCATGTTACAGTTGTAAATACACAAAAATGCTCTTCAACAAGAGACATTAAAACCTTTGGACCCATTTTCAAAGTAACCTAAAGACAACCCAGCCAGCTGCCTTTACTATAAACTCCTTCAACCCTTGGATTCTTACCTAAAAAAAAAAAAAAAAAAAAACCAAAACAAAAAACCAAAACGAAGAGATGGGCTTTTTTCTTCTTGCATTTTTGTTTTAACAACTGCACTCCTGCAGCTGGGCAAACTACAGTTCCTACCTCCTGTCACACAAACATTAGCTTTCTTGCCTACCCTCTTCTCCATGCTCAAAAAGAAAGTACTAGAAGAAGTAACTATTTGCTGCAGCATAACAAAGGCCTAAACCAGTTATGTTTTTGCTGCTTCTGTTGGCTGAGTTCATTACAGAAGTGTGGATCTCTGCATTCTTCCATTCAGCACAGCAGCTAGTGTACCAACATATTATTATCCTCTATTTCAGAAATTCCCTCTGGATACCAGTACTTTATCCAAGAGGGATACTCCACTGAATGGACGCTTTTTGCAGCCAGAAAGAAAAAAAAAAAAATGAGGCCACTTGAGCTACTGGAAAATAAATTCTTTCATCTATTAACTTCTCTGCTTTATAAACTACACCAATAACCAGACAGACTCAATAAGGCTTCTTTGCCTTATCATGTCGGTTTTCCCCTATTTTTACCCAAATAGGTTACGTTCCTATCAAAAATCTGCTATTTTTTCCAATTAAATGCCACATGTGTCTTTGTTCAGAGAAAGACATCAATAAACTTCTTGCTCAACCTCTTACATCTGCTTCCCTTTCTATTGCTAGATATTCTTCTAAAGCATGTATCAGTTATTCTACATGGAAGCTGTGCAAAATAACTGACCACTATTGCATCCATGACAAAAAATAACTGAAAAACTAGAACAACTAATTCTGATCAGTGACAAAACTAGTAAGAAACCCCCCTTAAAATACAAATGGAAAATCAGTTTACTGCAAGTATCACAAATTCCTGAGGTAATAAGTCACAGCAGCATGTGACATTTCAATTACTTTTATTAAGTTGACATTTAGGCTGTACTTACCCGGTAGCTGAAATGGACTGGATGGTCCAGAGCTAGCTGGGGAGCTCGGGTAAGTGCTGCTGGCTGGAGAAGGTGGATAGGGACTGTTTGGTGAAATGGAAAATGGAGTGCTGTTGGGTTGCTGGAAAGAGTCTGGAAATGTCGCGTTGTGTGGCATGTGTGGTTCGTTGTGGCTTAAGTTCCTGAACTGGACTAGTAGACTGTGCTGTGGATTGAATTCACTATGTCTAGGCACTAACACTGGAGGTAGAACTGGAAGCAAAAAACAGATAAACTCAGATTAAAAACAGAGATAGGAGGAGAGATGCAAATAACACGTTCTGCTCACCATGGAAATTTCAACACTAGCTGGGGTGGAAAGAGGAGTAGGGAATTCATCTCATATGCCTTTACCCCATCCCCTCTCCTTTATGTTTTTACATTATGCTTCATGGAAGACTCAAACTCCACTCTTGCAAAACCAGAGCAAAACTACACCTATTTCATGCAACTGGACCTTTTTTTAAGAGAAGAAGAGTTTACATGTGGCATATACCAAAGTACTGATTTAGAGGTGTTAAAGTGTCTTGGTTTTGGCTGGGATAGAGTTAATTTTCTTCCTACCCTCACTGTATGTGTACATTAACAACTGAGTAGAAATGGAAATACTAATTTCCATTTATTAGTCAATGGAATTAATTAATTAGTTAATTCCATTAAATTATCTTGGTTCATGCCATTATGTGTGTGTGTGTGTATATGTGTGTATATATATATATATATAAAATTCCATGCCATATATATATACTATAGCCTAACTATATAGTTACATATAGTCCTTTCTTACCGAAGACAACCAAAATCTATACTACAATACAACTATTGCTAAGCTGGAGTTATAACTTTTATATTCAAGAGTGCTGGAGCCTGAAATTCAAGTGCTAAAGTAGAGCACTTGAGCACTACAGCTAGTTGCAGCAGTTATAACCATTTGTGGAACAACGGAAGCTACTTTTCACTGTACTTTCCAAAGCAACATACTTCACCTCTCCCACTCGTAACCACAATCCTCCTCACCTTCTCCCATGGCAATGCGCCTTAACAGCAGACTTGCTACCTGACACGAATCTGGTATCTTGCTCTAACTGATCATCACTCCTGGTTCTGTTCAGCTCTGCTGCCTGCTGCTGGGAACTCAAGTCCCACTTGACTTGATGAACGCTACATCCTGGAATTCATTTTTTTTCTTTTATCTCCTCAATTTGTGTCACTCAGTGATGAAATATTAAGCTCCTGAAAGGTTATAAACCTCCTTGAAAAGACTGAGGGTTTTAAACAAGTTTGTCAAAGAAACCGAAGTCTTTTGATCACTGCTTTCTGTTTTATTACAGTTGAGGACTTTGCCACTAAGTTTAAGGTTAACGGGCTTAAGAGATCTGTTGGAAAAGCATGATTTACCACAAAGAAAAAACAGCTAATACAGAATGGACAACACACCTCCCCCAAGCCCCACCAGAAAAGTACACTTTGAATGTTATTCCTCTTCCAAACTCCCTCACACACCAAATGTAGTTTGCTATACAGCACTGGAGGAGGAAGTGAACAGTAAGTGGTTCCTGGTGTTTTTAAGACAACCATGTTCAAACACACCTGGGCTCTCCACCCTCTTATAGTGGTATGGATTGATGCAGACTTCCTTCTGTTTAGATCCAAAAGGAAATTCACAGATATCCAAAGGCTTCAGCTCATGATGACTTTGTAGATCAGGCCAACGCCAAACACGACAGTAAATGACATGGGGAAGGCCCTTTCTGTGAGAAACTTGAAGTCGTCCATCTAAAGAGCGGGGGATAGTAACGCACTTGCTGGGCTGTCCTGGACTGCTCAAGGCTTTCTCCAGTTCTTCCATAGCACCCTTTTTTTTCTTCAGCTTTTTAACCAAAGCATCAACAGCTTTTTCTGCCCATTTTTCCTCTTCATCTCCTTGTTTCCAGCCCAACAGACGCTTTACAGCTGGGCTAGTAAAGGAGAACAAACTGGCCATTGACGTCATTTGACACAAGTCTTCAAAAGGTCTGTTGGGTTTTGTCTGCTGGGTTTTTTGTTTATTTGGGGTTTTTTTCCAAAGAAATGTCAGTTATTGCCACTGATGAACTGCACTAGTTCCTGGAGGCCAACAAATGAACATATAGATGTCGGTGATGAAGTCTTCACATCAAAATAATGACCGATTCCTCCAATTCAGCTCTATGAAACAGGTAAGTTAACAAGGAATTAGTAAACAAGATTGTGGTAAAACAAAAAGGCAGATATGATTCTATATTAAAAAGAATCCTTGTTTCAACCCTAGCCATGACACCTGATTTTGTTTCAAAACAACATCCCAGAAGTACAAGGACCTGACCCCAAAGCTAAATAAAGTCAAATGTGATCAGAGTCCCCAATTCCTGCATTACTGATCAGTGGAGGAAAGGTCAGTCAAGGGATGAGAAGGTCAGCACGGTTTCTGTTAGTGTTCTTTAAATCCATGATTTTCCTTCAGAAAACAGTCTTGGGGAATATGCTTTAAAACTGGCATTATATCTCTGTCATGGTGCTTCACCAGAAGACTTTAAACATGTGATGAAGAAACAGGGAGGCACAGCGGAACCAGTAGATCCACAGCCAGCACTGCACTGAAGCACTCAAACGGATCTTTATTTCCCAAAAGGAGAAAATAAGAAATCATCTGCTTGCTCTTGAGCTCCAATTTGGTACCCCATGTTTTTGGAAGAGTATTAAGAAAAAAAAATGAGGAAGAAGCTGTAATATAACTACAAGGAAAACAAAAACAACTGAAAGAAAAACCCAGTAAAACGCCCCAAAGCAACCCTTCCCAGCCACTCAAAGGTGATCAACTTTTTCAGCTATGGTTATTTTTATGCTGCACTTCCTTGTATCTTTTAAGAAGAATATTTGAAGTGCTGGATATTTTTAGCCTTTGGCACAAAAAAAGTGTTTTCTTTTCCCCAGAAAAAGAAGGGGGGGGTCATGGTGGAGTAAATACTGTGACCTTTACTACGAACTGCCTCAGAGAAGAGAACAGCAGAACAACACTCTGCAACTCAAGCAGCGCTCATGAATGGTGATGTTTTCTACCACTCACCAGCTCTAATGCAAATCCTTCCCCCACCAATTTAAGGAGTACCGATGACAAGAGGAAATGATGTGCTGTGGCAACGCACTGATAAGAACTTGTAAAATCCCTTGTGAATACTAAATAAGCAAGTATAGACAATGAGCAGCTGGCAAAAAGCAAGAGCAGAGCTAAGAGAAAGGATGTCAATAACAAAAGATGCTTCCTTTCTTGCTACAGAGACTGCCAAACAACATTGTCTCTCAACTTTTGATAAACTGTGGTGAATTAGAACACCTAACATAGCTCAAGATGCCAAATCTGCACATAAGAGAAAGGTGTGTGTTGGGGGAAAGAAAGATTTACGTTCCTCTGTGCTGGTTCTCTTAGATTGCTACCTTTGATCAAGAGGATCTTTCTTCCTCCCATCTTTGATTAACTAAAAGTCATCTGATAAGGTTTCTCTTAGTGTCTAGGCATATTTACAAGCTTGCTCAGACACATGGACAGGTACTTTTCTCTAACAGAACCATGCATTAAGCATCATCAGCCAAAGATACAGCAAACATCCCTAGACAAAGCATTTATGTTGCACATGTAATCATCCTAAATTTTCTACTAGGGAGGTGGAAGGTGAGGAAAGCAGAGAACAAACCCAGGGACACCTGGCTACGATGAAGAGTGTAAACTTAAAAACTTATTAACACCTTTTACAGGAAAAAAATCCATTTATTTCACACAGTAGCTTAATCCCATTGGTAATTCTTTGATTATTCAGCTTTGTTTCAATGGTATGGAAAAAACTGGGAAAAACAAATCAAACAAAAGCTGTTTGAAGATCTCTTCCTAAGTTCTCATAAAAAGCAAAAGGAACAAGAAGAAACTAAGGGAACTGAAGTCTCACACTGCTTCCGTAAAGCCTCAGAAGAGGGCATTGAAGAAAAAGAAAAGAAAGAACGCACAACCAATTATGTATCACAAGAAAAAAGGACATGTCTCCACTGCAAGTATCATTTAGTTCCCCAAAACTATTACACATGAGAACCTTTGCACCCTTCAAAGTAACAGGAAACACATAAAGGGAGATAAACTTGGCCAAGAACGCAGGACTATATTTATTCTTTTAGTGAGGATAAACATTTACTGTTCTAAAAAGTAAAAGCTGCTTATAGTCACATTAAGTTGCTTCCAAGCCTTGCGCACATTCAATAGCTGTAAGACATCAGCTATTGCTCACACCCCTGAGAAAGGAAATGAACCCACCTAGAATCTCAGACCAGAAAGAAGACAATTCAAAGTTCTATTTTTGGTTCTCAGCTATGCTTTCAAAGAACCTTCAGCATCACCGAGGCAGAAGAGACACTAAAAATTTCTGTAGCTGTTCAGCTCAGATGAGATTCTAAGAAGCGCCTCGACTGTTGCCACCCTGATCTATTTTCCATTACAGCTGCCCCATCTATATTAAGCAATCAAGTTTGCAGATCTATGATTCTATTCTATGATCATGTATAATTGTTTATTTTTTATTTAACACAACAGTGACATGCATCAAGTAGGAATGAAATTTTCCTGCTTGTGTATTATTTCAGCATCATTCACCCACAAGTATGCTCATGGAATAAACAAGCTAACGAAAGGCAAAGGAAGTTGGAACAGTTCAAAACTGATGCTTTGCAGTAACTAGGATTTGTAGGGCAAGTGTCAAGAGAAATTTGACAAATGACTGTCCTATAAATGATTATTTTAGAAATAATCTGCTTGGGGTAAGTAATATAATTAACTCTAAAACCTTTATATTCATCTGAATGCCTAGCAACAAAACCAAACCTCGTAGAACAAGTATTCCAAAAGCACTGCTAACAGATTTGATCACAACTGTTTCAACTTCTTAAAAAAGAAATTTCCACATACATGCTTGTACTATAACCACTGAAAAATGAGACTGCTGAAGCTGAAAATGTTAACAGCATTTACTGGAAATCCATTCTGGCCACCCATGAGGCTTTCAAGACTCTTCTGCTGAAGCTTACTTTTACGTGTTCAAGAAAAGCAAGGGCAAAAAAGAAACCCTACAACAAACTACTAATAGACTCTGAGAAGTACAAATGACACTGAATTAAATTTCATTAAAAGCCTTTCAGAAGTTCATTTTGGAAGGCAGAAATACTGAAGGTTTACAGCTTTTGATTTTTCTTAAGAAAGCAAGGTAGAATTAAAAAGCTTCATGAATTATTTGTAGACTTAAAGTGTTTCCTTCTCTGGAGCTATTTAAGGCCACAGAGCAGCAGGTTCAGGCATTTATGTAGAAACTAAACATTTTCATGCAGAAACTGCAGCTCCTGTACGGTTTTAAAATATCTGAGTGAGCAGCATAAACCACATTTAGAACACTTATTTCTATTTGATATCATTTCAGCATCTAATTTTTGAAAGGTTTCTCAGTAATTATGCATCTGCTAGGAACACTATCACCAGAGCATCTATATTTACAATCAATTTCTTTTGAGGCTTTAAAAGTGCACCTTATGAGCTGTGATTGCAGTACAACAGTGCATCACCAAGACTTGAGCACAGAAACAAATGCTTTAGAGTCACATTTTTATTCATAGTGTTGCACAAATTACATGTATTGTGGCACCTCTAGACCCAGCTGGTAACAGCTTTCATGGGGGAAAAAAAGCTTTCTTAACTTTCCTTAAGAGGCAGACGGGCTAATTATGCATTACCTGCTTTTATTAAATAACTTTTCAGCTGAGCTACAAGAGAACGTCAGCTGAAAAACATGTTATTACATTTAAAATAAAGTTACAAACACTCTACAGAATGAGTGTAATGCATTGCATGGGGTAGCATGAGGGGGCTTTTAATGGGTGAGCATAAAACGAAGTAAATGCTGTATCAAAATTGGACTTTGGGGCATGCATTATTTATATGTTTAAAGTTCTTGTTAGTGACTACAGCAAATGGAAGTAAACTAGTTGTGTGAACAGGTCCATTGTTAGACCTCCTTCTTAATACCTCATCAAGCCAGCTACATACAAACAAAATGGGCTAAGAGCAGAACTTAGAAGTTACATTTCAGTTGTGAAGATGGGAGGAAGAGACTACCTTTCATCTACCATCACAAACACTAAGCAACTCAACTACTTTTCAGTTCCTCTTCTGAGATTTTCTTAGCCTACTATATCAAACCAACAAGTCTGGTAGATAAATTTGATTCACTATCAAGGAATCTCCTTCTGGCTAAAAGGGCCTGAACAAGACTCTCAGCAGAACAGATCAATAAAAAATTAAATACAGTGTATTTATTTTAACGAGGTGTACTTTTTATGTAACATGTTCTGCCATCGATTCCAAACTAAATTTCCCACCTGCAAAATTTAAATTTAAAGTATCATTAACCAAGCAGCCCATCACCCCCAGCAGTGTAGCAATGGATGATGCTTTTTACAAGGGTAAAAATAAGATGGGTAACAACTACATAGTCCTCATCTTTCCCTCCTGCCAGTACCAAGCCTGTATTGCAAATGTACAAGCACTATTCTCCTCCTGCTTAATTTATTTGTTTGCAAATTAAAACAGCTTCCTGTAGCACCATACCCAGTCTGAACTAAGGAACCTCAGTGCTCATGATTAGAAGCTGCTTTGAGACTCAATTTCAGAATAGAAACAAACCACCACTTATAACCAGCTACACAATTGGCAGTTCATTAGAGCTGCTGCAGATCTGCAGTTAAAACTGTGCTTAACTTTACTGCCTCTTCCAACTTCAAAACGCTCAAGTATTTTGACTCCATACACACATTATTATATATTCACACAGAACGCTCAGAAACTCAATTACAGCATATTAGAGCATATTATGCTGTATTCAATCATCAGTATTTTCTTCAAAATTGCCTAAAACTACAGCCTCACACACCAATTTCACCTGGTTTTATTTATGAAGGTCATTCTTTCCCTCCAAACTTCCTGACAGGGATTGCACTTGGGTTTTATTATAGTTTTCCCAAGTCTATGTCTTGCAGCCAAGCACACAGTCCCATGCAACGGCATGTGTTTGAGCCTTTTCTTGAGGACAAATACAGAAAGAATGTTAGCTCCACAGCTTTCCCATATACATCAAGGAT